GGACAGAAAAAGCCCTCTTTAGTGCGCGGCCGGGAGTCGCGGAGCCCCCGGCACCGCCTAGAAAACGCGGAAAACCGTGTAAAAAGGGTCCTGGGGGGCTGCACCGGCGCCCACCCCGCTGTGCCGGGGGCCCGGGGCCTGTGGGAATGAGAGGCTTCGGGAGCGAGGCCACGGGGGACCCCCGGGATGCCCCGCGCTTGTGGGGACAGGCTGAGCCGCGTGCGGCCGCGGTGGTGGGAAGCGCTGGGCCGGGAGCTGCCGGCGTCGGGCTCCCGCTTTGGGGCAGGATCGCCCAAATTGGTCACTTTGTGATGGCGGCCGAGTGAGCCCGGGCGGGGACGGGGCTGGTGCCGGGCTGTGGCTCGCCTCGCCTGGCACGGCATGGCACGGCATGGCCTGGCACGGCACGGCCTGGCACGGCACGGCGCGGCATGGCCTGGCACAGCATGGTGTGGCACGGCATGGCACAACATGGCCTGGCATGGCACGGCACAGCATGGCCTGGCCCAGCCTGGCATGGCGCAGCACAGCATGGCCTGGCATGCCCTGGCATGGCACGGCGTGGCACAGCATGGCACAACATGGCCTGGCCCAGGCTGGCATGGCACGGCATCACTTGGCATGGCCTGGCACGGGATGGCACAGCACAGCACGGCGTGGCCTGGCCCAGCATGGCATGGCATGGCATGGCATGGTGTGGCCCAGCGTGGCATTACCTGGCATGGCCTGGCACGGCATGGCTTGGCCTGGCCCAGCACGGCCTGACATGGCATCACCGGGCATGGCCTGGCACAGCACAGCACGGCACGGCACGGCGTGGCCTGGCCCAGCATGGCCTGACATGGCACGGCATGGCACAACATGGCCTGGCACAACATGGCCTGGCGCAGCATGGCACGGCCCGGCACGGCCCGGCATGGCCTGGCCCAGCATGGCACGGCCTGGCACAGCACAGCCTGGCACGGCACAGCCACGATCCACCGGCCCCTCGCCCCCACCCCCCGAGCTGCGACAGCAGCGCAGGAGGCAGCCGTGCCACGGCCGGAGCTCGCACACGC